GGAAATACTTCAACCTAAGAAACTAACTCACAGCTGAATTTCACAAGGGATTCAAACTGAAAACTGTTGGGATACCATGACAGATAGAAGATTTGTTATATCTGATATATTAGTAAGCCCAAAGTAATTAATTCACTTACAAAACTTTGAATTTAGGGGAAAAACAGAAAAAAATAAAAAAAAAAAAAAAAAAGGAGGGAAGCTCACATTTCTTTTGAAGCTTTTAAAAACGAACAATTTAACTGGCAACCATTTTCATGAAGCCTCGTCTAACAATTATACTAATATAGTATTAGCTTAATTTTATTGTTGAGCTAAATGGTTCCTTTATACCCACTGCATCTCCCATCTGTGCCATTTTTGACTGTACATATAGTTGATGAGAACTCAACACACCAGTAGGCATCAAAACTTTCAGGAAGCCTCCAAAAGTGGATTAGCTGCTGCCAGAATAGAGAAGAAACTTTTTGTAATACCAAAATTAGGTTACTTATTGTATGCCAAGCACAAAAGTAGCACTTTGTATAGCCACCATGAGAAAAGGAAACTTACCACACAGGCTGCAAACAATACAGATTTTTTTCACAATGATTCCTGCCTCTATCTACACAGCAAAATGAACCATTTGCATTTAAATTCACCTTCTGGTATTTCTGATATTTCTGATTCTTCAAAGTTTGATTCCTCTGACCTCCAGTCAAGTCTCTCTTAATATGTTTGTCTTTCTCGTTATTAGCCCCCAAACTGGTCTCCTTCATTCTCCCATGCCATACTGCCCTCCTGCTGCTAGAACAACTTGTTTCAAAGACTCTTACTCAGCTAGCGTAAACTCCCCAACTCCTGGCTTCTTTCCTGATTACTCACTGACTTCACAGCTACTCTGGATCATTCAAGGTAATTAAGTCTGAGATCTGCATAATTCAGTGCGTGACTTCTATCTGATGAGTAGCATGTCACAGGAGCTTTGATAGGATCTTAAGAATAGGGTCCAACAGCTTATTTGTATGTGTTTTTGAAATATCTGTAGCAGTACTGTAGTTAACCTTTTCTGGTTAGCTGAGAAATATTAAAACCCCCCCCCCCCCCCCAAACCACTGTTGCAGGCCCTGATAATAAATGAGGAAAAAAAAAATGTTATCTTCAGATTAGCTCCAGTCTTTACTGCTCCCACTGCTTGAGAACAGAGCAAAGTTCTGCTTGAATACAGTCTAAGTACTTTCTTCATTTCATTACAAAATTCTTCTCCACCACAATGAATGTACTTTCCCTCAGTCCATTTAGTTCTCAGCCCATGTTTTGTCTCTGCATTGTTCCTTCATCTCTTCTTCCTCTTTTTCTAGTTGAGGATTTTCTATTCCATTTTTCTACCTAGTCTAAGTTCACCCTAGGGACTGTCCATGCCCTCCCCTTCTTCGTTAGCCACAGAACTGTATTGACCTCCCTAGGCAAAACCGTTTCTCCCTTTACATTTGATGTGCCTTCTGTTTCCCATGGCCTTCTGTCAGGCCTGCTTTTATTCCAGTCAGGCGATTTCCTTCTTATGACCATGATTCCAGAAAGGGGTGTCATCAGGAATACAAGACAACTCCTTGCTTTCAGACCAAAGGGTGTGATGACACAGAAACCCTTGTTTGTTTGTATGAAAGCCTCTTCATCGTGCACAGTACCCTGAGTTTTTATCTAGAAAAATCTAATAGCTTTAACTCAGTAATTATTAATGATAGTTATCTAAATATTTTAATGTGGTTTTATTTACATCAAGAAAGGAGCAACAGCTAACAGATTTGTCGGGAATATATCAAGTGCAGTCAAACAAATATCAGCTATAATAGGATAACGGGTCTTGTGGATGGGAGCAGCAGCACAAACAATATCACTTTAGTTTATCAAGGCTTTGAATGCTATCTAATGTGACAGTTTCATTAAGAAGTTAGGAGATCATGATACACTTAGAAATTGAAAAAACTGTGAAATAGGTGCAAAACTAGTATGAAAACGGTCCTCATGGAATGCATATCACTGTCAAATTGGAAATACAAACTAAATAGGATTCCACCAGGGACCATACTCCACTCAGTATAATAATTCAGTATTACGTCTTAGGACTTGTATGTTGAAATACAGACTGCAGGTAGCAAAGCTGAGATAGATTAATTCTAAGAAGCTATAGACGAACATTAGAACTCAAAATCATCCCAACAAGTTGGAGAAATGGTCTGAAAGAATAGGATGCAATTCAGTACAGGACGCATTTCAGTAAAGGCAAGTTCAAGGCTCTGTGTTCAGGCAGCAATAACAAAGATTGCAAATGCAGACAGGAGGTGAATGACAGTGCAGTACTGCTGCAGAAAATGGTTCTGAGAGAGGGGAGGAATTATGAACCATAAGTCAACAACATAATGCCACTGAAAAAAGGCAAACGTCATACTACAGCATATAAGCAAAATCATCTGTAAGCCTAGGGAAATAATGCTTCTATCTGAGACTGGTAAAGCCCCTGCTAAAATACTGTGCTCCACTTTGGACACTATGTTTTTAAGAAATATGCAGACCAGATGGAGAGAAGGCAGAGGACAGCAGAAGGAATGATCATACATCTAGAATACGTGGTCTAAAGATAAAGCTTAAATCAACTAAGATAGTTATGCACAGGCAAAAATAAAATAAAGGGGAGACATATTCAAACAAGTATGTGGAAGGTGCAGAAGTACTTCATGTCCACTGGGAACAGGGTAGTTAAGTCTCAGGCTTGAAATAAAGACAGGGAAATTTAGACAAGACATGAGGAAAAACTTGCTCATGGTACAGATAGTTAGACGCTTCAGACAGAATAATGAAACCATCCAAGAAAGCCTATGAAATGATCAGATTTTAGAGAAAGCACAGATGCACATTTGTCAGAAGTGAATCCAGCTGAGCCTGATCTTCGGAAGAGGAGCAGTCTAGATGAGATCCTCCCAAAATTCCTCCCAGTTCTGTTTTCTAAGGCTTCTCTCTGACCTGATGCACTGGATCAATAAATACTATAGAGCAATTGTTAAATGGATCATTGAGAGGGCAGATAATAGAAGAAGCGCATGAGGTATTGTAATTATTAATGGCATGCACATGCATTAATGTAACACTTTATGTCAGTGCTTTGTATTGACAATCACAGCATAAAACAGCAGCATAAACCATTTGGAAAAACCTGTTACACTTAGGAAAAACCCAGGAATTCTTATATGTAAGATAGCCATTACAGAAAAAATGTCCTTAGCAGACCGTAGGGGAATCAATTATTTCCTGTCTTTGCATCAAATCCTCAAGCATCAGACAGCTATGCCAGTCTTTGTCTGAAGGAAGAACAGGACACTCTTAATAGGAAGACCATAACATTTAGAATAAATTCAAATACAGAGCACAGTAAGTCCAACAAAAGAAACTGTAAAATACCGTCTTTGATGATTCAACCTTTCACAGGAACCTAAAAAAGTAAATACTATACAGGCCTTTCTGACTTCAGCATGGATCTCCGTGGGCAGAAAGCTGTGCCCACATAGACAAAGCAGGATTGGGGGATTAACATATTAAGTGCCCTTTGCATGGGTCTCAACAGAGGAAACTCCAATTGTGCACTCTCTTTGCAGGTCAGTGCAATTAAAAAAAAAAAAAAAAAAAATGTCAACTGAAAGCACAACCACCTATAAGATACATTTATCAACCAAAAAACATATGGTGTTTTAGCCAGATGTAAATCACTAAAGTTGAGTCAAACTTCTACACTGAAACTACAAACTTCTACAGCTACAGAAATTATATTCTACTTTTTCTGTTTTGTGTTTGTATACACATATATACGTACATATACCTGTGTATGTATTTGCATGATATAGCCTGTCAGTGTCATCCAACCTCTGAAATCCTATAGACAGCTTTTGCTCATAAATCTAGAAGGTACTTTTTCTTTCAGTAGAACAAACCCTTAATCTATGTTTAAGGAGTTGTAAAAGACAGCTCCTGTGATTCACCCCCTCCCCTCAACAGAAGCACTGCTTGTTAATCCAGCAGGAAATAACATTTGCCAGGATTGACAGCTGTGGATTTGTATTCAATTCCCAAATTAAAAACCAATGACAGGGCCTAGTTCAACGGAGATGTCAAGGAAAATAAAGAAAGTAAAAAACCTGCTGCTTTCTCTGTAAAATACAAACATACCTACATTTTGGATAACAACACTAAAAGCTGGGAAGGAGATATAATGGGATTAAAGCGGTGTGCAAAGTTTCTCCTGAGGGTTTTCTTTTGTTTTGTTTGTTTGGTTGGTTGTTTTTTTTCCCCCTCCAACAACTCACATTCTGTATTTTTCCTCTTACATATGAAGCTTTCCTCTTACTCCTAATACATGTTTTAAAACATGTTAAAATCTATTTCAATAACTATTCGTAAACCCTGCAAAAACTATAGTGTAAAAATTTTCATAGTCAAATCATCAAAATCTTCATATATAATATTATTTCTTGTCCAAATCAAAGAAGGCTTAATTACGGCCAAAATATTATGAAGAGATCTAATGACACACGTTCTCATGCTTCTGCAAAATTGTGTTAATGGTAAATCAGAGTCCACCTTGGGCATCTTCTACTGTTAATCAGAATAATATGAATCAGAGATGGAAAACACCTGACACAGTAAAGCTGGGCTGTTTTCTAGTGTTGTAACAAACTGCTCTGAAGAGCCCAATTCAGCTTTTCCCAGTTCTAACAGTCTTTGAAATAAATTACAATAGTAACATTCTTACTGTGAATTAAATCCCGTAATTATGAGTTTATAATTCCTTAAATCTCTGTAAACACTCCTCTCACTTGCTGAAAATCACACCTTTCATATACTTTCAGATGTCCATGTTCCTCCAACACACTGATTAAATAAAGGAACAGGGAACATTAATTTACATGCAGGCCACTTCAGCAATCTGTGAAACAACAAAATTAAAAGTGCTTTAACTTACTGATATTTACCTGTAAGAAGTGATCCTCCTTAGGTCTGTAACAGAAACATGATAGCCACACTCTTCTAAGACTTCCCCACATGCAATTTCTTCTAAAGAAAGGTCTGGTTTGTCTACAATGCCAGCACAGAGTTCATAGGTCACTCCTACCGCAGCAGGTAAGGGATCCTCTAGACGAGGGAAGTTCTCATTGTCCTGATTCTGAAAGACTTGAGGGTGATGCCTTTCTATTTCACACATGTAAACAGCTTTATAAAAATAAACAAAACAAAAACAAAACACAAAAGAAATAAGGGAGTGTGTGTTAGTTCATTCATATTAAATAGAAACAAAAAGATGGTAAACAAATTTTGCCTGGAAATTGATAACCATCAGAGTCCTTGAGAGTAACAAGGAATTCAGCTGTGTTATCTGTTAAAATTAGGACACACTGAAATTGGAATTTTAGAGAACAAAAGTTCTTATTTCTGTAACATTATTCTTTAACTCTATTTGTGCTCGTATCATTTAGAATGAATTCATGCACACCTTAAAAGAAATAAAAATAAAAGAAGGAAGCTAGTTCATCCAAGAAGTCTAAGTCCCAGAAGAGCCATACAGCTTCCATTTGTTGGGCAATGCGGATATCAGGATTTAATTTAAACTATGCAGTTATCTTCCAGGAAAGTTGGGTTGCACATTATGTACCATGTGCACAATGATGAGTCTTTCAGCCTGTCAACTCAGCTGTTATTTAGAAAGGGTATGAAAAGCATGTATGCTTGTTTGAGGGAAAAAAAAAAAAAAATCCTCTTTTGAGCATACAGCTCCTTGCACAGATTCCTGTGTGGAGTCTGAAAAAGACTTCTTGAATTAATCTACAAACAGCTGCCACTGTAATGCACTCCTAAAGAAAGTGCAAATGCCAGATTTTAGTCCTTATTTAAGCAAAACCTCTCACTGATGTCAACAGAAATTTTGCCAGAGTAAGAACTGCAGGATGGGATGTTAACACACAAAGAATTACTACTGACAATTCCAGACTATTGTAACTTTAATTTACAGGTATAATCCCACTTGTTTCTTCTTTGAAATGTCTTTAATTTCTTTGAATTTCTTGCATTTCTTTGAATGTCTATCCCCTTGCTTTTCATGAAAGATTACCATGAGGGTGTTATAAAACACCCTGAATAAAACTAATTTAAAATTTGAAATTATTTTTATTCCATGCATATTTCATATGCACATAAAATGGTTTTCAAATGACCTTATCTTTTATTTCCCATTCTAATCTTGCAGAACTGGTATATAAAAGAGTTCAAGTTTAATGGACAACTTTGTGTTCTTTCAGTTACTGGATTTAGCTTATTATTTCTTAAAACTGTGATATACAATAAGGTCTCTACAGAAATGTTGTCGCATAGAAGAAAATACCACAGTGACTTCTCAAGCGCTTGGTCTCCGAGGAAGAGTCTACACCCCAGACATTTGTGCCCAGGCTCCTTCTGCAACGCTCCTCACGACACCTCGCAAGTGCAGTGTAGCAAGATCAGCACTTGAAAGGGAGATGTCTGGATCAGCCTATTGTCCCAAACCCATCTTTCTCCAGAAGTTAAAACTTTCAAAGCTGGTTGTAGTAGGTATATCTAGGCCTTTGGGATTCAAATAGTTAAGGAAAGGAGCCTCCATTTCTTACTTGAAAGACATGACTAGAGCTCAGTTTTCTTTTTAAAATGCAGCTTGAAGGCAGCAAAAAAAAATATTCCATGCAGACTTTGAGGGACAGATCCTTGAAGGGTGTCTGCTGTCATTATTCCAAAAACTTCTAAAAGCTATGACAATTATCATAAATGACAACTACTTCCAAGATCTCTCTGAGATGAGCCAAATACTCTTAAGGTTTTATTGGTTTTTTTTAGTATAGACATATCCGTATCAGTAAATACAAAAAGGAACAACACATGCATCCCACTAAAGGACTTGGGCATCAAAACAGGATGCAGGTAAGAGTGTGGGGTACAGAAATATGAAACTGTGATTAAAGTAACTCTCTGTTACAAGTCTGTCGAATCCCTGAAACCCATCCTGTCATTGCAGCAGGCACCTGCTGGTCTCCTCCCTCAGTGCAACTGGGCTCCACGTAGATCAAAACCTACATTCCCAGAAGGACCTAATCCAGCAGTCCTCTCCAGAGCCAAGTCCTGCAATATGACAACACTTAAAACCCAGTAACAGCTTTTCTCTGTAGATAAGGAAGAAAAGCTGTAACAGCCACATCTGTAAGAGAGTCTAAATATTAGAGCATTCACCAAGGAGTTGGAGTATGAATTCAGTGTCACCAGGCTCGCAATGGTTCAAACTCAATTTATCTCTCATAGATAAGCAAAGCCTAGAAAACCAGGCTGCCTGCTAATCTCAGGGAAGAGAGGAGTGCCCCATACCTCTCGTGAAGGTGCAAAATTGACTGCACAAGCGATGCACCAGGGGAGATAAAGTACCAGATGGAAAAGCACTCTGTGGCCTATTGGCTAGGGCACACTCTTCTAAGGGAAACCTGTGGCTCTCCTCTTCCTCATCACAGGCTGTCAGTTTATTGCAAATGCACAAAGAGTTTGGAAAGCAGAAACTAGAAGAAAAAGCTCAGCTCCCAGCCCAGTCACCCACCCACTAGTTCCCGTGTCTGAGTGCTCTCCAGTTTTCTGATGGTGTATGCTATTTCGGTCAGAAACTGCCTCTTCATCATCACTGGGCAGCTTCCTCCATCATCAGATGTACACATGCAATGAGTGGCAGCACAGTGAGGACTCAAACAACCTTCTAGTGCTCATTAAATTTCTTGACTAATTACCCCAGAGCCACTCAGCTGTAAGAAGTCTCAGAGAGGAAACTCCAGTAGAACTGATGCACTTGCCTTCCTTTCTGCAAATCTGGGACAAAAGATAGATGGCTCAACCAAATTCACCAAATAAGATCATAACTGTTATTCAAAACAGACTTGTTAGATGACTCGTACAGGGACTCGTTTGCTGTCCCTAAAGAGAAGAAAACAACAGTACAGACTGAGGGGTTAGTGGAGTTTAGCTGACTGTGGAACGTGCTAGCTTTTCTTTAAACTTCTGATTTCTCTTTGATTGCATCAGTGTTTCATACCTCCTGAAACAGAACATGGCTTATGATTCCAATTTTGATACTGTTTATTTTAAGTCAATGCAAAACCAAACATCACAATCCATTGTAAGGTCATTATACTTACAGTGACAAAAACCAGGGCACATGTTCACAGCTATTAACCCCAGCCTTTCCCAGGAGTATTTTTATTATATTTGAAAATGTGCGGTCAACTGTCTACCAAAATGAGCATTGCCCAAGACCTCTGACAGTCACTCACGGGTGAGGAACTAATATGGAAACGTGGATATACGCATAACTTTCTTCTCTCTGTTCCTTCCAAATGTGTGATTTTATGATCATTCAAGATGATCTAAGTCCACACTACACTGAAAAACATGGTCCTGTCTGCCTCACCCTAGTCGGGTGCTCCTGCCATGTCTCAAGCCAGCATGAACTCTTTCAGGTCAGTCGGATAAACTGCCTAATCTGCAAAATTTTCTCTTTTCAGCCATATAAGACCTCTGTTGTGGCTGCATAAGGGCTGGTGCTGCCAAAGGGAGCAGGGTGGGAATGTACGTACAGGGAGGGATGACTGCCTTTACAAGCAGCACAGACTTCAGTGGGAAAACCTGCTCATGACACCACACCCTAAGGGAAGGCAAGCACATGTGTCAACCAGCACATGTGCAGGGGACGTGCCGGGTAAGTGAGCGGCAGCTGTTTGCTCACAAGTAACAAGCCATCACCTTCCTGGTGGGACCCTGACAGGAGCTAGCAGTGAGAAAAGTCTCAGCCTTTATTTTTGCTTTGTGGAACAGGCACCAAGGCAGACAATAACCATGGAATGGAAATATAATTATATATTATATATATATAAAATAATAATAATAATTACTGATGTGAGTAGTGTCAGGGCATGGTTGCAATCACTGAACTGCTGTGACTGACTGCTGTCCCGAAGGCCAGGTTTCTGAGCAGCTCCAGCCTCTGGAACAGTTGAACTCCAAGAACAGTCCGATCTTGATACTTCCATACAGACTGTGTAATGAACATGTCACTGTTCAGTACATATATATATGCACATATATGAAGGCTTTTGCCCAAGATTGCCTCAAAGACAGCAACAGCTATATGAGCCATTTTATTCAGCTGGCAAATGAAAGACATTGGATTATTAATAAACACTTTATAAGAGTTAATATAGTGTTTCATGAGAAGTATGCACTGTCAGTATAACAGTGCTGCACATCACTGAGGAGCCCGTCAATCACTGTCAGTAAGAACGGACAGCATGACACCACCCTAGAAAGTTTCCTATAAAGTCTACCATGAACCGTCTTCAAATGGTCTCTTAGCAACAGTCAGTGAAGTATCTTGTGATTTTTTTAATTAACATGCAGAGAATATGCATTTCATTTTTAACTTCCAGAAAATAAATATTGCTTTGAATTAAAATAAGATACAAAAACTCAGAAAAAAATTAACCTAAATTCATAATAATAACTGGTAAAATGAAGCTGTCCACATATTGATGAAAAAGCATACAGTCCTGAATTCCTCTCATTTTAAATTCCAAAGGAATAGTATAAACCAAAAAAAAAAAAAAAAAATAAAAATTGTGCTTCTGCACAGAAGTTGCCTACTAAATACTAGATAGGTCAAGGAGGAACTTCAAATAAAATCAATCTATTGCATGATCATTGTAGAAATAAAAGCAATCTACTGCATGAACATTGCAGAGCTGTTTGTAAATTCATCCAAGAGGACAAGCCCAAAAGTAAAATGTAAGGCTACCCTGATCATTCGTTTCATCTGTAATGGAAATTTCCCTGGTTAGAAATTCTGACCAAATGAAAAGGGTGGGCTATCATACAAAGAAACAGAATATAGAACAAAGATTTTATCACCACAGATGTGCCAACTTTTAACTGCTAAACCCTTAAAAGCTTGCTTCACTAGAGAGCAAAAGTAAATCTAAAAAAAGAGGATTACCTGGGCGGAACTGCTTCACCACAACAAAGCACTGCCGAGAAATATTAAAGATCAGGATTGACACACTGAGGAAGAAGATAAAACACAAAAGATCAGTGCTTTATGAAGGATTAATGCAGAACTATTAAACTTACATCTTGTGAATTTAATTTTAACTACATAAATACATAGAAGATCTATTACTAAAGCCACAATGCAACAAGATCCTTGTCCAAAATCCATCAAGAGAGATAGATAATGGGTCATGTTCCCAAAGCCTGTAACAATTTACCCCAAATTAAGTCACTTTTGTCTCCTGCCACACAAAGTAAGCCACCAATCAATTCCTTCTTCCCAACAGGAAAAGAAAAAAAGAAAAGAAGTCCAACTCTAGGACCATTGGTAGTAGATAGTAATAACAAGAAACAAACTATCCTTAAATATAAAAACATTCTTTTCGCTTGTATCAGCCCCAGATTAGGATAGTCTAACTTTTTAGGCACAGTCTAATTTCAGTCTGAGCCAGCGTACCTCCTATGTGTGGCTACTTGCTGAGCTTGGGCCTTGAAACAGACATTGTCCAAGTCCAGTTCTGTACAAATTTAAACCAGAAGCAGTTTTAACTGCTACCACATTCAGTTATTTAAAAGTCACGTTTTAATCTTGCCCCCGTCCTCTTTGGTTGTTTGAAATACATGTCACAGGGAAGCCTGGCAGGCGGAATATTTGGAGATGCTCTGAGAAGTGTGGAGTACTGATGTTCTCTGATCACTTAAATCACTCTCAGATTTTACAAGTTAAAAAAAAATCAGGCAAAAGTCTCTCTCCTCAGTTGGTAGCCCATTAAAACCTGCAAAACCAAGTGTGTATTTTGCTCATTACCATGGTAGCATTCTCTCATTTGTTATGCCTCACTGTATGCAATTGGAAAGTTAATTCATTATTCTATGAATTCTACAATAGATTAGACTAACAATGGCATATTTGCAGAGTTGAGTCAAACTTTCAACTTTCCGTGTAAGAGAGCTGTATATTTATTTTCACTATTTGATTTTATAATGAAGTCTCAAGCTGCCAGAGAAACTGCTATTTGATGATTATTAAAAATAATGTTAATGTTTATTATAATAATATATAAAAACCAAAACAGAAGGGAGAAGTCCAGATGTTAACATTTATATTCATAGTTGCTATTCTCAAAGACCCGTACTGCATATTGATGGCTTCCTGCCCCAGGAGATGTCATTTGCAGGCAATTTTAAACCAAAGGCTTCAGCCTTCAGAGAGGCTGGAGGAGAATATTCACCCTGTCTACTGACAAGAGGGTTCTTTCTGACCAAACGCTAGAGGATCTGGGAGTTATGGTATAAGTTGCTAGAAGAAATTAAGTTAAAGCACTGCCTACAATGTTTTTAAGTTTACTTAAGTATTACTCTTTCATCTTCCCCTTCCCACCCTGCCTGCATGACTGTTCCCCTCCCCAAAGCAGTACTGTCTGAGGGTAGACATTGCACTGAATAAAAGGAGAAAAGGAATTACTGCTACTGAACCTTTGGTTTTTGTCCATGGGTCTAAGGACGTGCATTGCCTGCAACTGGAGACAGCAGCAGTCTAAAGCTGAGGTTAAAGAAAAGAGACGACTTCCTAAAGCATAGGGTTGCCCTTCACCTTTCTTTACATCCACCACCTCAGGCCCAATCTTTCACTTGGCTTGCCTTCTTCAGCATGTCTCATTAAATAAATCATACCAACTCATTAAAAATGGCTCAGCTATTAGACGTTATTTTTTCCTAAGAGTCAATCACTTGAGATTTTTATGGAACAGATGGGAAAATTAAAAACAATCTGTCAGAATTAAGGAACAAGATCAAATTAAGCTGGAAAGGAGTAGCAGCAAGTTATTACAATTGTCTGCTTCTCACACCATCTTGAGATGAGAGGGTACAGAAACGGCACAAATCTGTAGAACTTTCTATTTAATTACTTCTAATTTTCTGAGAGACTGACAAACAATTTTGAACATAAATTTACATTTTTTAACAAACCACAACATGCAAGTTCTAGTATTTCTTGCCAGAGTTGGAGAGTCATGGAGGAGAAAGTTCAGAATTACACCTTCTTAGGAAGAATGCAACATTAGAAATGCCATTTGGTATCTCTTATTCCACAAGAAACAACATAACATGAAATATTTCCATAGGTCACCAGGTCTGTAACTTCTGAAAACCCATCTGAAGCTACGTGCAGGACAGTTTTCTGAATATTACAGAAAGTTAGGGCAAGACTGTTCAACTGATCTAAGTGGAGGATCCCCTGAGCCACTGCTTTCAATAGGTTTCCTTATTGCTGCAGCAACTCCAATATGTGGGTTCAGCTGTTTCCTGAAAAAGGCAGGAGTCCTAGGAAAGAATTTAATCTTAGCTAGACACTGAAGGTCTTAACATAGCAATGTGCCTATGTCCCAAAGAGGAGCACAAGACCACTTTTTTATTTTTTATGAAAGAAAACAATCCTCAGATGTAAAAGGATCATGATGGATCCAAAACTTGCCTCCATACGTTAAAAATAAGCTGTAACATGTCTGCACAAATGAAACACTGTCTCAGCTTAGACCTGCCAACCTTTTTCATTTTGGGTTGCAGACTGGTACTTTTTTACCATATTCCACAGTTGTATGTCTTTGCTGGCTATTCCTCCAGCAGCTGACACTCAGGGAAATTGCTGGTGTAAGAGGAGAGGTCATTAATGCAAATGCAATGCCGCTGAGACACAGATCTGCACCTGGGACCCAACGAGCCCCCAGCACAACTGCCGCACACAGGTATCACGTTCGGTACCTGCCACTGCTTCTGCAGGCAAGAGGTGGCCAAGAAGAAAACTCTTCAAAACGTGCTGTGTGTGTCATTCTGGAGCTATAATTTGCTTCTGTAAGACATGGATCACCTTGGACCAATGAAGAAGACTCCTCTTCTGCACTGCATCCGTCGGTGGCCACTTTAGGGACTATGACCAGACAGAAGGACAACATATGAAGAGATGACACAGGTTTTTACAGTGTCTTCCAGGGCCGGTGAAGACCACAGGCCTGCTCAGGCTTCAGCCCAAGCCCTCCTTGCCTTCCCCCTGCAGTAGCTCCTGCTTACTTTATACATACAATAAATCACTACTCTAATTACAGGAGACATTTTCCCAAAGAAAGCATGCATATAAACAGGTTACTGTGCAACAATGTAGGATACTGTTTTTCCTATAAATATAGGAACAATTAGGGTAGCCTTAAAATATTTTAAGAAATATGTGTACCTAAAATGTCAGAAAAGACATAGCTAGAAAGACCAGCTAAACTGTACTTGAGCTTTTATTGTACTCAAGTTTGCAGTTAAAAGTGTGCCGGGTCTTGGTATCTAACACAATGTTTTCTCAAAGGGATTCCAACTATTCAGTCAAGGATCTCATGTAGCATTTAACCGTTCAAACTTCAAAGAAAACCCTTACTGAAATAGGTAAGTATTTGGATTTTCTAATGGACGTTTGGCTTCTCTAAAATGTCTAAGTCAACAGGCAGAAATTACATACAACTGATCCATGGGCATCTGCAACACAGGAGCCCAGAATCTTAATTCTTCCTCCACCTTTAAGACTCTCATTGAAAGAGAAAACATCTACCTGAATACAACCTTTACAGTTGAAAACACCTCTTATAAGAGTTTAGAAAAGTACTCCCTGTGTGCCATTGGCCTAGAAAAATGTTTTCATTTTTTTTCTTTCCCCCAACATAATACAGCCTGTATTTATTGAACTCAAAGTAAGAGATGCTTTAGGACATTCCAGAAGAGCAGACATTTATATCAAAATACTACGGCAACTTCACACACTCAGACCTGAAAAAGGAAGGTGATGTTTCTAGGAGCAGTGCAAAAAACCACAGCATTTGACCACAGCAGTTATGAGCTAGGGGACAGATGAAAACTGACATCCTGTTAAAATGTGGACACATATGGAGGGACAGAAACTCAATTTGTTTGAAATACATCCTAGCAATTAAGATCAGCAAATAAGATTTGCCATAGGTAGAAGAACATGTATTTCTAGAGCTCAAATACTTGAAGGAAGATTTTGGGGGTGGAGGTTAAGGGTGGGGTTGTTTGTTTGTTTGTTTGTTTGTCTGACGGTGGTTTTTTGCATTTTGTTGTTGGGGGTTTTGTAGGCAGAAATGTAATTTCACATTGTAGTCATCGGTTTGGTAGTCTATCTTCACAATTTGTCAGTTGTTGACCTGGGCTACAGTTAATATACAAGCAACTGCTAACACTTAGTAATTGCTTTTCATGAGACAAACTTTTAAAATCCTTTAATAAATAAAGATTGATTCGGCCTTTCATTATACTTAGGTGTGACCTTTAATGCATGCTTTACAAACGCCAATTTGCAAAACTTAAAAATTAGTTTTTAAAAAATCACAGTATAGTAATAGCAAAGAAAGGGACAAGATTCTCTTGTGTCTCTGTTTATGAAATAAGACTCTCAAGGTTGAAGATGAGGATTTTTAATTACAATCTTGTACTAATACTATAGTATGTTGAGTAATTGATGAGGTAATACAGACAAAGAAACTGACCTTTCTTTAATCATTGTAAGAGTAACTTAGGATCTCCTTGTATCTAGCATGAGTATGTGTGTGTCACACACAAACTGTGATCAGAATTTAATAATGGCAGATAAAGCACCTAAAAAAGACTGACATTAACACTGAAAGCCAGGCCTTACCAACCATCAACCTCAGCCACTTTCACCTACTTTTAAAGGCTAAAAATTATCTCAAAATTAGTTGAAAGTCTGTAATACGGTTTGTATTGCTTACAAACAATAATCTCAACTCCATAGTGGAGACTTCAGGAAATAACGTTATTTGATTTCAGAAAAATGCAACAAACCAACCAAAACAAAACACCAAAACCCCTGCAACACTATCAGAGCCTGTGGCAATTCAGTTACCATTCTCAAAAGAAGACAATGAAAAAAAGAATGGTAGATTCCAAAAAAGAAACACAAAAATAGCATGCCGGAATAAAAGCAAGTAATTAAT